AGGTGAGCCTCCCCACACCCATGACACCTCCCATGGATTATCTGCTCTGTACCTTCCCAACTGTCAGCCCTCACCGAGGTGGCTCCACATTCTCAAGTGTTCTCTAACTGTTTCACATGAATAATTTGTGCCTCCCTGACTCAACTGCAAGGGCAGAGTCCACAAATGTGCCTATCACATTCTAAAGCCAGACCAAGGACTCAAAAATACCTTCTGATGTATTGATTCATTCCTGCTCAAAAATACCTTCTGATGGATTAATTCATTCCTTGTAGCTGCCCTAAACTGTTATAATGGTAGACTCCAAATGAAATTAAATCAGTAGCCCCTCCTGTTTCCCATTCTGCTTTTAACCACGGTTCTGCATTTCTCTGTAGCCTTCTGAAAAGTCCTGAATGTCAAAGCCATTCCTGGGAGGTGTGAGGTTGGAGCTACTTCTGACAACAGAGCAACTATTTCTTGAGTACCCAGGCCCCCGTGCTAAGCCCCTGACATATGCTGTCTTATTTCTTTCATTCACAGTGCTGTGAAGTAGGTATAATTATTCCCCATCTTATGGATGAGAGATTTGAAGCTTGGAGAGACTAGAATCTCTTGTTAACCATGGCTAAATCCTGTCTGCTACCTGCTTTTGTAAATAAAGTTTTGTTACGTACTGTCCGTGGCGGCTTTCATGCTACAGCCTGAGAGTTGAATGGTGGAGACAAAGACTATATGGCCCACAAAACCGAAAATATTTTCTCGCTGACCCTGTACAAGAAAAACTTTGCTGACCCTTGGTAGATGATCCTAGAGTGAGAAGTGGAGCCAGAATTCAAACTTGCTTATGTCTGTCTTCTAGTCCTCCTCCTGTATAGGGGCTCCCCTCCACCCACCATATTTTTGTACAAGTTAGATCTGTCAAAGGGAAGTCCTCGCTCAAGCTTTTGTGGAGAAGAATGCAGGGGTGGGTGCCACATCATAAGGTGTAGCAAACAACCCAATTGGAGCATATTAAATGTGAAAAAGAACCAGGCTTCCAAACCCAGTCCTCAAGATTACAACTACTTTGTTGACCTACTTTGTTAAGAACCCCAGGTCTACCTGAGCATCAACTGGTTGGACCACCTCCTTGAGCCAACCCTAGCTGTCTCCCTGTGGCTCCAACCTGGGTCACTGCAGAAGTATGGACAGCTAGAGCATTAATTTGGGATGAGCACCCTTGATATAATGAGCAGGGGTCACCACTTTCAAGGGTCCCAGGATCCTGAGGATTACAATTCTGAGGTTTCTAAGGATCATAATTTGTGGATCTAAGGTCCCTTATCTCACACAAACCTTCAGAGCCAAGAACCTGAGCCTTAGGGACTCCCAGGTGTGAGTTCTCAGCTCCAACTATCTTCCCCGTGAGAGTGATGAGCAACATATCACCATCAGGAAGGCCAATGGGTATCGGCAATGAAGGTTCCAGGTGCTAATTCCTGGTACTGCCGGGTGCACTGCCCAGCCCCCCTGCTCCGACTAGAGTGCACAATTTAAACCTCCAATACTAAACACAGTCTTTCTCTGAGGAACTTCAGAACCTGTCTTAAATCTGCATTCATGTATGTCTGGCCGTCCCAGGAAAAGGGCTCCTGGAAGCTAACAGTTTTATTGAAAGTGATCAACAGACTGAAGCTAATAAAGCCCCGGTGCCAACAGCACTTAGGTCTCCCCCCCGCTAACGGAGAGCTGTTTCCCAGGCAGTCATTCATGAAGAACCAAGGACCCAGGGGGCCATGCCACAGGCTTCTGGTCTCCCAGGCTCCCACCGCGCCTTCCAGCCCGGTTCACCTGAGGCCATCAGGTGCATTAGTCAATGGAAGGCTCAGTTCGCAGCTCTGTGCGTTGTGTTAGCACATGGCGTTAGCTCACTTGGGAAAAATGCACCCCTGACTCACTCTGGCTACAGAAACAGCTTCACTGTCATCAGCTTTCTCTCATTACCTGCCACCGTTACAAATTCTCACTTCCCTGCATATTCGCTTAAATGGGGTCACCTAGGAAACTGGAGAAACAAACAAAGGGGAAGAGGGAGAAAGCTGTGGGAGGAGGGAGTGCTCATGGCCCTGGTCACGTACATAGGGAGGTGAGGAACACGGGAGAGGGCGGGTTAAGGCGGCAGCTTCCATGCCAACCAGATGGTGTCCTTCTCCCCAGGCAAGTGAATCAATCCTACGTAGGTCACCTGAGAGGTGCCTGGGCAGGTATCCGGAAGTCCCAGGAGCTTTATTAGGAACTAACATTTCTGTTAACGAATCCTCTGGCTTCTAGAACATAAGCCTAAAGTTTTACCCTGTTGAAGCCCTTCTGGTAAACCGCTACACAAGTGGTACATAATGCGCCCACCTCACCTGGTTGCCCACATCCCCGAGGCTCTCCATCACATGCCGGGGGTACCGAAATTGCTGCTGATGCCTAGAGATCCCTTCTGTTAATCCCCCGTTCACAGCCACGTCTCCACTGTCCACCCAAAGGCTCCTCAGATGCTCAAGTTCAAACAGAACTCACTCTTTCCCCACCGAACCCAGTCTGTCCTCTGCCTTGCACACCTGCAGTTACGGTGGCCCGATCCTGGAAGCGCAGAGTTCCCACTCTCTCCTCTCTTCTTCATGCCAGTGTCAGTTCTGTCCATTCCACCTTCAAAACTGTTCTCCAATCTCTTCTCCCCTCTGTGTTCCCACTGTCACCACCTTAACTCGGGTGTTCAGTGACTATCCCCGGACTCCCATTCTCCTGCTCCATCGCTTCCCTCTCAAATCAATCACTTACGGTGCCACCAAAGTGAGGAGTCTAAAATGTCATTTGCAGTGCTTGGTGGCTGCTGATGGACAGCCTAGACAAAGTCTGCATTCTTGGGCCAGGCCCACGAGCCTTCCCATCCCCACGGCCTCATCTCTGGCCACGCCCACACATGCACCTTCATCTGGAGATGTCCCTACCACTTGCATTTCCCTCAACAGGGAGACGTGCCTCTCTGCCTCTCAGTGCCATTCCCTCTGGAATCAAAGCTCTTCGTAAATGCTGCCTCCTCTGAGAAACCTTCCCGGTCCCCACCCGACACACTCAGCAATATCTCTGTGCTCCTCCAGCCCTTGGTAACACACCGGCACCAGTACCCACGCACTGTGTTGTAGTCATTTGTCATTTCCTTCCCCTCGATCCGGACTTTCTAGACTCCTAACCCCTGCCACAGTGCCCGGCATACGGCAAACCCCTGACGGGTGCCCGATTAATTGAATGTGTGCCCTTTGGTCAGTGGTTTATAGACTCCTCTCTCACTTAAATTTGTATCAAACAGCTACCAATAGCTTAAGAGATGCATTGGGGTTTCCCTCCCTTTCTCTTTGCTAGGACTAAGGGCCAAACCTAGCACGGACCAGGAAGTGAGCAGAAAGGGCCTGGAAAATCCTCCCCCAAAATAGATCGCTCATTAGCTCAGCCACTTCCACATCTCCAGAGTGAGTCTGAAGAAACAAGACAAGACATACATTCTTGCACAGTCTGCAGTTTAGATACTAAATTAAAGAAATAAGGTGAGAATCTGAGTAAAGCAGGGGTCATAGCTCAATGATCTGGATCTCAAAAGGGTTTAAAGAAGGGCCTCCCATCCAAGTCCTCCTCCTCTCAGCCACGTGGTTCTGACTTAGTATTCCTCACATGTATCAGGACATCTAACAGCTCCTCAACCGAATTAATCCAAGCCTTTCCATGCAAGAGCCAGGCCAGCACACTGAGCCAGCTGGGAGTCGCGGCGTAGGGAGAAGCCCCAGAAGGTCCCGGGTCCCAATTCCACATCTAGCCCCACTGCACCTGAGCCTGCATGTAAAGTGGCTTTTCAAAACCAAACCCGTCTTCCAGCTCAGAACCTGGGCAACCATTTCCTAAACATGACCTTGCTTATTATACTTGAGCAGTTAAGCTAAATACAGCAAGGAGCATAAATTCAGCAACACACAGGCTTCCGGGGCTTAAGTGTGAGGAGTGCACGTGGGCTGGGTTCTGTTGAACGAGCGGGAACTACAGAAGCCAAGGGCGAGACTCCTGCCGTGGTGTGGAACCTCTCTAAAACAGTCTTTGTGGCCATCCATCCCCCACACATAGCCAAAGGGGTCTTCTTCCCTGCGGACAGTCCTCTCCCTGGTTTCTCACCTGTCTGGGGTGGACAAGTACTTCTGCTTCTGGAATTTCTTCTCCAGGCCCATGAGCTGCAGCTCAGTGAAGATAGTGCGACTCCGACGGGGCTTCTTCTGCCGGGGCGTGGGCTGCTCCGTCTCTGACTCGCTGCTGCCTAGAGCCTCGCCCCCCGGGACCTCAGCAGAGGTGGCCTCAGAGGCCGGGTGGCAGGACAATGCCTGGGCAGCTCCCGGGGTGGCAGGGACCAGGTGGGAGATGACCGCGGGCTGTCGGGTGATCACTGAGAGGAGAGGGTATGCCCGGAGGGAAGCAGGGCCTGGAAGACAAACAGGGAAGCAGGTCACAAGAGGAGCCAGCGGGGGAAGGAAGCCAGAGGCCCCCGGAGGACCACTTGCAGAGACCTGACTGGTGGGGCCTCTGGATCACGAGGAGGTATAATGGAAGAAGGGGAAGCAGCAGCAACTCATGACCTAGAACTGCTGGGTGGGTGGGTGAGCTGTGCTCAGCCTGAGGTATGAGAGGTCCCCACGGCCAGGAAGAGGGTCCTGCAATTCCTCTGGTGTTAAGTGGACGTTTCCCCTCTCTCTTTTTTCTTTTTAAAGTTTATTTATTTATTTTAAGGGGGAGGAGAGGGACAGAGAGGAAGAGAGAGAGGGAGAGAACCCCAAGCAGGCTCTGCACTGTCAGCACAGTGCCCGACACAGGACTTGATCCCATGAACTGTGAGATCGTGACCTGAGCCCAAATCTAGAGTCAGATACGTAACTGACCAAGCCACCCAGGAGCACCCGCCATCTTTTTTAAACCTCTGAATTCTGGTTTCAGAACTATGGGTCAATAATCTGAGCAGATGAAAAGTAGTTGTCAGAAAAAGCTAGAAACACACACTTGAGAATACAAATAGGTTTGTAATATACAAACTGCCTGAGAATCACCTCTGGTCTTTGTAAAAATACATAGTTGAAACTGTGCATTCCTCCTGAGAGGTCTTTAGACGTTGAATCATAACATTTTTCAGAGCTGGAAGGATGCTTAACAATTATTTCATCCAGGGGCTCCTGGGTGGCTCAGTCGGCTCAACGTCAACTCTTGGTTTTCAGCTCAGGTCATGATCTCACAGTTTCGTGGGTCTGAGTCCCGCTTAGGGCTCTGTGTGTTGCCACTGCAGAGCCTGTTTGGGATTCTCTCTCTCTCCTCTCTCTCTCTGCCCCTCCCCCACTGTCTCTCTCAAAATAAAGAAATAAACTTTAAAAAGAAAACGAGTATTTCATTCAACTTCTTCATTTCAGAGACAAGGCTGAGTGAAAGGCTAAGTGACATGCCTAACATCACAGAGATTAGAGCTTTGAGCAAGAAGGCCCAGGAGTCAAACCAAGTTCTTCTGGCTTGAAGTCCACGCTTATCACATCATGAACCACATGCATACATCATTTAGGGAAGGGGGACAAACAGAAAGATTTTAATTCACATGGAAACTCGGATCCATTACGGCCGGCTGCCTACAGCACTGTGCTGAGAACGACTGCCAGGCTGGGTCAGAGCTTGGCTGAGAAAAGAGAGCTGACGTTGAGTGATGACGTCTGCCGAAATGCCGTGGGCATCTGCGGGGGCGTAAGGTGGTATATATGCTAGCCATGTGCCACTCCTGCCTTAGGAATTTCAAGGCAGAAGTACTTTTCTGTCCAAGAATCTTACGTCTTTAAAGTTCAAGTAAAAGAGCTCTTCCTTTTCATTATTCAATAGGATTATGTTTCAAATCTCATGATCATTACCTATATGTCATTTTATCTTTCTGGGCCTCAGTCTTGCCATCCACATAGTGAGTAAAAGTAGATAATTTCAAAGAATTCTTCAAATTCTAACCTACTGATGCCAGTAAAATACCTCTCATCCCAAGCCCATTTTGATATCTGATGAATACAGAGGAGACATAGGGACTGCCCTTGGGGACTCGGCCTGGCCCTGACAACTCATTACGAAGGCAAAGGCAGGCATGTGAGCCACGCAACATTCATGCTAGTTCTGGGTTAAAACGAACCAATTTCAAAGAAACATTCAGGGGCTGCTTGTGTTCTGTCTCCCTCCTCTGGGTTGGCTTTTCTCTTCTTATTCATTCCCATGCTTCTGTTTTGGACTTCAGTCACAGTTATTAAAGCAGATAACTTCTCTTGTTCTTCTAGAAAGGCCCAGTACAAACCACAAAGTTGTTAAATAATAAATCACCAACGGCTATGACTTCCATGAACTCTCCAGCCAATGCTAACACTTGAGGTTTTGTGTTGTGGATTCTTTTTGAGGAAAAAAAAAAACATCTGGGAATGAATTATAGCAAGAAAATAAGGACACCTGGGCCTCTGGTTTTGGATCTCCCAGTATACATTATGAAATGTCACTTCTTGAAAAAAAATTATCTGAAAGCTTCCTTACTGGCATGAGGTATTTCTCATCTCAAATCACTTTATTCCTTTAATTTGGACATTTCTTTTAAAAGGAACAGTCTTTATTAAACAGGCTAACTTATACTCTAGATACTCTGGAGCTTACCAGCATGGCAACTGCCTAGTTACCTACCTGTCAGTAATGCTTTTATCACCTGAGTTTCCGCTTTCTCTGGTGAAGAGAGTTAAACTTTTTTCCTTAACATTAAAAAATATTTTGGAAGTGTGGTAATATCTAGTGTTGGCAAGGATATGGGGAAATGGGCACTCATATATTGTTGGTGATATACCAGTATAGTCTTTTAGAAGGACAAACTGGGGTGCCTGGGTGGCTCAGTTGGTTAAGTGTCTGACTCTTGATTGCGGCTCAGGTCATGATCCCAGGGTTATAGAATCGAGTCCTATGTCGGGCTCCACAATGGGCATGGAACCTGCCTAAGATTCTCTCCCTCTCTCCCTCTCTCCCTCTCCCCTGCTCTCTCTCTCTAAAAAAAAATTTTAATAAAAGGACAAACTAAGCAGTGCCTCTCAAGTTACTGACCAGGCAATTCTATAATGAGGCCAATTTGCCCATAAGCACAAAGATTTATGTACAAGCGTATTCACTGCAGCCTTGTTTATAATAGTGAAAAAAGGAAACAACTCACGTATCAACAGGAAAATGATTAGCGGTACATCTACAGTATGGACTATGATGTAACCACTAAACAGAGCTATATAAACAAATAGACAGATAGATACATTGATTGATAGGTTACATGGAAAGATGGATAAAGTGAAAAAATTCTGAAATATATTATTGAGAGAAAATAAAGGTATGGAACAATCTGCATTCTATTAAAAAATCCAGATGTGTATCTGTATTTAAAAATGCATTTTTTTAAGCCTAAGAAGTTAGTCGTCAAGTTATTAACAGTAATTACCTCTACAGAAGGAGTGGGAGTGGAACATAGCGCACAGTGGTCTCTACGTATTAATCTAATCCTGGATTCAATCCTGCCATAAATGGTTACTGAGCAACTACTATGGGCTGTACTCTGTTCTAGAGGTTGGGGATAGCAGTGAATTACATAAAGTCCCACCTTTAGGAAGCTTACATTTCAGTCAGGGAGGTAGACAGAAAACAAATAAATATATAATGCTAAAGGAACACCTGGGTGGCATCAGTCTCTTGGTTTCAGCTCAGGTCATGATCTCACAGTTCATGGGTTTGAGCCCCACATCGGGCTCTGTGCTGATGGTGCAAAGCCTGCTTGGGATCCTCTCCCTTTGTCTCTGCCCCTCCCCTGCTCTCTCTGTCTCTCTCAAATTAAATAAGTAAAAAAAAAAATTTTTAATTAAAAAAATATATATCCACTATATATATACATACATACATACATACAGATATGCATACATATAATGCTAAGTAGTGATAAATTCTGTGAAGAAAAACACAGCAGATTATGAAGATGGGGCAGGTGAGGAGGAGGCAGATACATCCGAGAGGGGAGGCAAGGCAAGAAGAGGTGACAGTTTTGGCAGACAGGTGAGTCAGGGGAGAGGAGAATCTTGAGAAGAGCACCGGGGCACAGAACCAGCTTGAGCAAAGCCCTAAAGTGGGAATGGTCTGTGTTCAAAGTCAAGCAAAAAAGGCAGAGTGAGTAAAGCGGGGGGGCCGGAGTCGCAGGAGATAAAAATTTGGAGAAATATGCTGCAGTCAGATCACATAAGGTCTTCAAGCCCAGGCCAAACAGTTAGGATTTTCTTCAGAATGAGATAAAAATATTGGTGAGATCCGAGCTGGAGAAGGACATGATGTGATCTGTGTCCTGAAGATCCCTATGGCTGCCATGTCGGGGACTGAATGTAGGGGTGGAGGGGAAGCAAAGGAGTAAGCCAGGAGGCCAGGCCACATTCCAGACCAGAGACCACAGTGGCATGGGCCAGAGAGGTAGCAGCTGTGGTTGTGAGAGGTGGTCAATTCCGCGTGTGCCTTACAGTTAGGGGCAGAAGAGCCTGTGGAAGGGCGGATGCCATGTCTGAGCTACAGAGAGTTGCCATGACACATCTGGGTGTCTGGCCTTAGCACCCAGAGGAACAATGGTGCCATTTACTAAGAAAGGAAAGACTGGGTGAGGAGTAGAATTAGGTGGGGAAATGAAGATTTCAGTTTCAGACCAGATGCCATTATACACGGTAGATGTGCTGAAAAGGCAACTACATACACCAGTCGCAAGTTCAGGGAAGAGGTTAGGTTGGAGAATACAACCCTGACTCATGGCAGTATACGTGGCACTTAGAACCACAGGATTAAATGCCATCACCGAGAGAGTGAGTGGAATAAAGAAGTAAAGAGACCCAAGGATTGAGCCCTGGGATATGCCAACATCTGAGGTCATAAAAAGGATGAGAAGCCTGCCAAAGGAGCAAGGAAAGGAAACAGAAAGAGGAAACCACTGACCCCATAGTTGAAAATCTGTGTACAATATTATGACTCCCCCCAAATGGAATAGCCTACCGTTGATCAGAAGCCTTACTGATAAACAGCTGATTAATACATATCTTGTACATTACACTATACACGCACGCACGTGCGTGCGCGCGCGCGCACACACACACACCCCCATACTTATAATAAAGTAAACTAGGGAAACACGTTAAGAAAACAATAAGAAAAAGAAGATACATTTACCATACTGTACTGCATTTGTTGAAAAAAATCTGCATAGAAGTGTACCCATGTGGTTCAAACCTGTACTATTCAAGGGTCAACTGTATTTACATTCTACTATAAGCATGTATTACTTCTGTAATTTAAAAACAAAACTTTCAGTTTTGTTCTCATTGGAAAGTTTTAATATATGTTCAATTTGTCAAAAAAAGAATTTTCATGTAT